CACATTTTTTATGAGGACCATTTTCTATACTTCATCCCTCGTTCTCCTGCTCATATTGTTCTTCATGAGTTCACAGAGCACAACATGCCGCTCACCATCATTACCAACCCACTCAAATTCCCTCGGCCCCACCCCTCCTACAAATTGATTAGACCTTGGCACAGAGTTAATCACCCATACCATCACTCCCTACACCCATTAATTCGCCCAACCCATATCACCCTCTCACCCCATTTTTGCCCTTATCTACCCCAATCCCAAACCCCCCCATTGTCCAACCTCTATTAATTAATGGTCGGTCTGTGGTTTTCTACTCAAAGGTAGGAGACACTCGTCTTAGACACATTTTAAACCTTAACACCACTTGTAATACCTTGTGTTGACATGAGATGGATTGAAGATAGCACAAAAGGGTTGATATTACTAATCATACCAACAATATGCATCTTTTTTTCGAGAGATCATAACTTAGAAACTTCAAGGTTAAGGGTGATTAATTTGAAGCAATTCTAGGATGAGTACGTAATCCCTTGGGAAGCTTTCAGCGCACACATGGGAGGCCAAATTTCACGGAAAAAACTTGGGGTAGTTTGTAGGGCTAGTCTTCAATCTTATGAGTAGATATTTTCAGCCCGAGGTGGGGCCAAAGTTTTACACCACAGTCGATATCTCCACACTTCTACCCACCAATTGTACGGTGTAATTCATTAATAAATCCAATCTAGCATACTATTGTGTGTTATATATTATCAATGTCATGATTTAAAATAAAACATAAGATTTAGTTACTCCCTCTTCCCATCAATGTATTATCCCTGGTAAATGGTTATTTTGTCACAAACTATCCTACTCGTGAAATTTCTAAGTATAAGGATGTTGGGTGGTTTCAAAGTTCAATAAACGCTTTGAATGAATTGTGATGAGACCTTTACTAAATTTGTCAAATTAGCTACAATTTGCAGTATGCTCAGTTTGGCCCTTTCTTGTGGTTAGCATATTCATCAACTAGATGCAATGGAAGAATGCCTTCTTACATGACACTCTATAGAAGATAGTTTATCCCATCGAGCCTTCTTGGTTTTAAGATCCCTCTCACCATCATTATATTTGCAAACTTAACAAAGCTTTGCAAGGGTTAAAATAGGCACCACATTCATGGTTTCAATGTTTTCATGGTTTTTTGTCCCTTAGAGTTTGTGGCTGGAAAATGGATAGATCCCTATTTGTGTATATGCATGGGATGAGTACGACCCACCCACGTCTTTATGTGGATAATATTGTTCTCACGAATGCTTTTGCTTCACTTCCTCAATTCATAATGCATAAGCTAAATGGTGAGTTTTCTATGATAGATATGGGCAATCTTGGTCTAGCACACTCAACATGGCCTATCTCTTCAACAAACACAATTCACACATAAGATTCCAAAGCGGAGGACATGCTTCCCTGTAAGGCCATCTCAACTCCTATTGACATCAAGGGAATATTGGCAATCCTAACTAGGCTTCTTGTACCTGATCACATTCCTTACAGGTATATTGTTTGTGCCCTATATCTTACTTTCATTCATCCCAACATCACATATGTTACGTAGTAACTTTACTTGTTTTTCCATGATCCCTTTATATGCGACATCCCACAATAATGAAGCTGTTTTGCACTACATACATTATACCACATCGCATGCCATTTCCCTTTCTCTATCTGCTATACTGACTATCTTCAAGCTTCTTTAGATGTAGACTGTGCTAGCTGCCTAAACATTGGGTGCTTCATTTCAGAACATTGTGTTCTTAGGAAAAAACGTGTTTAAAAATCCCAACCACTACCTCAGGCTCAAGTGTAGAGACCAAATATTATGTTGTTGCCTACGCAATTGCCGAACCAAGTTGGATTCAAAATTTGCTTTTGAAACTGCATCAACTTCTTAGATGTGACACTTTCAACGTTCTATGACAATGTAAGTGCAATGTATCTCTCATCTATTCATGTTCAATACTAAGAAAAAAATAAGGTTGAGGTGGAGTTTAACTTTGTTCGAAACAAAGTTGTACTAGGGCATGTGTGAGTCCTACCTGTTTCATCTTTTTCATAATATGCAGATATCTTTACAAAAAGACTCCCATCGCTCCAATTTTTACTTCAAAGATAGAATTCACATTCGATATCTCCCGCATATGATGCCAAAAGCATGTTAAATACTCCCTTCGTCCCCCTAATATCTTCTCATTTTGACTTTTTGTGATTTTTAAGAAGTGTTGAAAAAAGGTGAAAGTTTACCATAATATCCTTAATGAAAATGGGTGGAGTGTATTAAATGAGGTAGGTGAGGTGTAATAAATAAAGTAAGTGAGGTTAGTTGTAGTATTTTAATTGTTAAAAAGGTAATGAGAAGATCTATGGCGGACAAATAAAAAGGGTTAATGAAAAGATCTATGGGGGACGGAGGGAGTATAATTTATTATATTTAAACTTGTAGTTCGTTATTTATTTTTTATTGCTAATAATTGTGTAAATAGACACATCTCTTTGTATATCTTGTAGATTTCTATTACCTCTACTACCTCTCATGTCAAATATCTCGTAAGCCCTTTATATATTTATCAATATTGATAATTTCATTCTTTTTTGAATTCTAATAACTCTATTTGAGGTAGTACATATTTGTCCATACACTCTCAATCTATTTAAGTCTATATATAGAGTTATTGCCACACCAGGGATCGAACACATAACCTCTCATATGAGAAAGTAACAGTGGTGCCATTTGACCTCTCATATGGGATAAATTCATTCTTGTCGGTGATTTTAGTGTCATCGATTTATTTTGTGTGATTGGATTTACTTCGATCGGACAGGAATTTAAATAGATGTTGTCAAACGAGTTAGGAGGCGCGGAGTGTGTGCTCGTTCAACGATATTATAAATTCATTGCGGGGGTCCAGGGGCGGCAGCCCCCGGGTAGCGGGGTCCATGGCGGAAGCCCCTGGCGGGATAGCTTGGAAATTTTTTATTTCGGACGTTATTTCTTTATGAAAATCCTTAAGATTTTCGTGATCGGAGTCCAAATCATTAAAGGACTCGAACTAGCGGATAAACGTCAAAATATACTCTAAAACTGCAGGAGGCTCTTCAAACACGCGCCTATGTTCTTCCCCACGCGAACGTATGCGTATGTTTACGTGAAGGATCATGTCCGATCATGGATTTTTCGATTCTATAAAATAGAATCTCGTAGTATGGATTGGGGGACAGATTTTCGATTGCTTTTTCTTGATTAACGTCTTATCCGATTGAAGTATTTCGTATACCCCGAAATAACTTTGATCTGAAAGCGTTTCGTACGCGATTCGTTATTCTATCGAGTTCTTCGCTTAAACACTGCTTCGCAGTGTTCTTCCTCCTTAAAATCCAACAATTCTTTAGTTATATATAGTTTGGGTTTTACTTTTCCCATGGCCGCTCCTGAGAATCTAAGCGTCCTGGACAAGACGAAAAAATGGACCCTTAGCCCTAACAAATTAAATATGTAAACTTAGTTCTTTAAAACAACAATTAAATTATAGTAATGCACATAAAACAAAGTATAGTACTACTCCGTATATAAGTAAATATTTTAAGAGCTACCTAAAAAAATTTAAAGTTTCAGATTTTTTATTCAAAATATAACTATTATTTAAAAAATTTAAAATGTTGGGTCCCAAAAAATAGGTTTGTTCGAGTTCGACACCTTAGCCTTCGCTTGGGCTGGCCCTCACTTTACTTATTCTTTATGCTCAGCTCAAAACTATTCTGGCCTCTCGATAACATTTGTTTGTTTATTCGTTTTGGTTGACCATTTGATAAAATAAAATATTCTTGTTGCATCTTGTTTTGTATAACTTTTCATACACTTTTGAATGGTGTAATTTTTATTTTTTATTGCTCTACCAATTTGAAAATATAATGATTTTAAAAGAGATGATATTTTGCACGTCGTTCGAAATGTTGCAAATAATTTGGGATGGAGGGAGTATTAACTTTCCAAAAATAGCCTTGATGTGTTGGTGAAAATAGGATATGATGGATAGATTATTAGTAAAAAGTTATGATGTGTAGGTTAGGTTATAATTAGTAGAGGTAAAAGTGATTTTTAATAGATCATGTTAAACAATAATAATAGTATTACTTGTGGTAGTATTGGTTGTGGTAGTGTTTCATTATTAGTCAGATTCCTAATCCTATTTGTAGTAGATGTTGTATTTTAGTTAGTCTCCATTCTCTAGTCCTAGTTGTGTTAGGAGTCTCTTCTATATATACTCTATCATGTACTTCATAATTCAAGAAGCAATATTATTATTCCAATATTTCAACATATTGAAATATTAGAATTAGTAATATTTCAACATGGTATCAGAGCCATCGCTCTTGGTGACTTAAAAGAGTTCTTTGCTTCCGTCGCCACCGCCGTTAATTCCGGCGACGGTGGCGCCACCCTATTTACCTCTATTTTCTTTTCCATCTTTTATCCTCAAATCAACTTCTCCATTCAAAAAAAAAAGAAAAAAAACTCTGTTGAAATCACACACAAAAAATCATCAAAGAAGGAACTTCTCTTTTGTCATCTCCATGGTTGTTCAAGAAAAAAACCTAACTCCTCACAAACTTTCTCAACTCATCCTATGTTCTCAAAAAAAAGATTGTTGTTTCTCTACAATTTACCATATAAGAATCTCATATCTAGATCTTTTCTCCATCACCAATTCTTAATCCATCTTTTTTTCCTCTCTAAAATCACTCATTCTAATCACCAACCTCCCTTCTCTTTCTCTTTTGTTGAACCAATAAAAATCCAAAAAAAACACAAACACAAAGCCAAGAAGGGAAGTAGTGAAAGAGGAAAGAATACCTCTACACCCCTTCAAGAAAGAAATAGGGCATTGCCCGGATCCAAGAGAAAGACAAAGAATGTCAAAAGATCTTCAGTCAAACAGGCACTTCCAGTAGCCTTCTCTATTCTTCAACGACGTCAGCAGCCACCGGCGCACGTCAGACTTCTCTCTTCTTCTTCGACGTTAGCTACCGGCGCACGTCAATTTCTCTCTTCTTCAACGATGTCAGCAGCTAACAGTGCATGTCAGAATTCTCTCTTCTCCAACGACGTCAGCAGCCACCGGCGCACGTCAGACTTCTCTCTTCTCCAACGACGTCAGCAGCCACTGGCGCACGTCAAATTCCTCTCCTTTCAAAGTTTCCAGTTTCGAGCTAGTGTCCAAGCTTCCTCTTGCTTCAGCCAGAGTTCAGCTTGAGGGGGATGTTAGACAATAATAATAGTATTACTTGTGGTAGTATTGGTTGTGGTAGTGTTTCATTATTAGTCAGCTTCCTAATCCTATTTGTGGTAGATGTTGTATTTTAGTTAGTCTCCATTCTCTAGTCCTAGTTGTGTTAGGAGTCTGTTCTATATATACTCTATCATGTATTTCATAATTCAAGAACCAATATTATCATTCCAATATTTCAACAGATCAGAAAGGAGTTTGTGCCACATGAAAAAAAGAAAAGAGAGAATTTAAGGGACGGATAAAGTATGTATTTTAAATTACATTAATATTATATTTTAACATTTTAAATTAAATATGATTTAACCATGTATTTTAACATTATAGTTTAACAAAAAAAGATTTTTATTTTTGGAGGGTGAGCATCAAAGAATATCATGGCGTACTCCTCGATATAATAAATAGACTCCCATTTTTTGGTTTTTTAATTTTTAAAAGCAAAAAGTTAAGAAGAGGAGTTAAAAGTACCAAAATATTAATTTATACGGACAAATTATTATTCCATTGGCCCAGTCAAGCTCTGTTTGTTTCAGTTCCAACTTCTTTAGTTTCTTTAAGGTATTTTCAGTTTATTTAACTCCTTCCATTTTTTTAAACTTTTTCTAGTTTTTTTAAATTCTAAGTTTCTTCAAATTTTTCCAAATCTTTCCAGTTTCATCCAATTCTTCTCAGTTTTCTTCTAATTTCTTTCAACTTCTATAAATTTTTCGAATTTAATTTAAAAAAATTTATTAGGGTATATTTTCATATATTATTATTATTTCAATAAAATAAAAAATTAATTTAACTTCACAATTATTAAAAACTCTGTCCTCGAGATAAATTTTAGTTACTTTTATAATATAGTTAACATAAATCATTAAAATGTTAAACTAGTAAATTTATATATTCCTTTGTAACTTTCACAATATGATTATGTCGTTAATTTTGTTTCTATCAACACTATTCTATATGTTACATACAATCAAAATTAGAATATATAAAATAAAGTATTAGTTTATAATTAGTTTTACTTTTATGATGTGCTGTGATTTACTATTTGCGTTGTATTATTGCACCTTTATTAGGGGGGGATTTTTTCAAAAATAAAAAAATAGCTAGTATATTTGGCTTATCGAAATCATCTTTAGGATAATTAGATAAAATTAAATCATGTTAAATAAGATTATTTATGTAAGACTAGTCTCGGATCATTTTGTGATTATTTTGATGTATAAATGTAATACGGAGTAACAAGTATTGCTTCATTTGTCCCCTTATTTTGGTTTAGTATTGCTTTAATATAATATTTCAGACTCGAATCAATAGAGATGACACTTGGAACATCTATGTGGAGCCTTTATTGACACGTTGATGATGATTGTACACATTAATTGGATCTAAAATCATTCCTAAAACAAAGACTTCATCTATGGAAACTTTGTTTATAATCATTGACCATTTTTAACAAATAGTTTATGGTGTCTTTTAAAACTTGATATTCATACATTTGATAAGTTTAAACTAATATATTTGATATTTCAAAAAAATTACTTCCTTTAAATTCATTTAACTTACTCATATCTCCAAGAGTTTTTTATAAAAAATCAAAAGGGATTTTTAAAAATTACTTCCTCAAAATTGTAATGCTTTATTCTACTAATTTATAAAGAAACCACATTAAATAGGAGTAAAACATAAAAAATATACCAAAATATAAGCTTCATGCTTTTATCCAAAAAATAAAAGATTGTATTGTGATAATGTGACACATTATATAGACATTCCACAATACTTTTGTATTATATATTGGCATGATTGACATTCTATATGCATTTTAACTCCTACTTTGGGAATAAAAATATGGAATTTCTATTTTGGTATATTTTTCATCTTTTACTCCTACTTATGTCTTTTTATCCTAATTTATACTCCGTATTTTTAAAAGTACGTACTACTCTGTGTATAAATAAACAAATTTAATTTTTATAATTATAAATTTTGAGATGTTACTTTTTTCGAAAAACATTCATATGATATTAAAAATAAAATGTGTATTACCCAATTAAGAAAAGGAAATTTTAACAAGATATACTTTATGATTTAGTGTATTTCCTTTTTTGTTCTCATAAATACAATTTCCTTAAATATATAATAAGGAATGTAAGCAAAGATTCTATCAAGATTCAAATTTCGTAATGAGATATATAGTTCTATCATGGTAACAATAATATTTTAATTTAAAATTTTTTTATGAAATGATCTTGAAGAATGTTTTTTATTCCAAAAAACATTTGTTATTAAAAAGAAAAATTTTCATATATGAAATCAAATTTTTAATAAGAAATATTTTAACCATCTTTTGATATTTAGATATTCATATTTGAAAACACGAAATGGTAATTTTGTATAGAATATTTTAAAATATAATCTTAACATAAAGATAAAATATTTGTATATTTATTCTTAAAAGCAGTCATATAAAGAGTTAGTTTTTGAATTCTAGACCATTGTTTTAGATAAAAAGTATGTTAGACTAATACATAAGTAACTAGATTAATGTTTAATTTGAAATTATATTTTAATAACACATATTTTTTATACAAGATAGAAAAGTAAAGATGAATAATATACTAAAATAAAAATTTAGTGAAATTTAGCATAGATTATAATTAGTAATATTTATTTAATAATTTTCAAAGAACTTATTTCTTTATGTGTGTGTGTGTGTGTGTGTGTGTGTGTGTGTGTGTGTGTGTGTGTGTGTGTGTGTGTATGTATGTATGTAAACTAAAATTAATGTTTAAAACCTTCTCATGGAAGTCACACAATTAAAAATATTAACCATATTAATCTTGAAAAATATTTGGCATAATATGTTTTATATAATATAGAAAAGTAATATTTACCTAATTTAGCATATGTTCTTTTAAGATTTGAAAAGAATAGTTAGATGTTTTGAAAGAAAATTGAAATAAGTTGCAAATAAATAAAGAGAGTTAGAAAAAACTAAAAAGAATTACAAGAAAGTAAAGCGAGTTAGAACTAACATATTTTTTTGAAAGGAGTTAAAATATAACCCTAACGTAACGATAAAATATTAAGTATTATATTTATTCTTAAAAATAGTCATATAAGGATTTGTTTTTTTATTCTAGACATTGTTTTTAGATTAAATGTATATTAAAATTTTACATAACTAACTAGATCATATACTCCATACTAAAATAGAAAATTTATGGAAATTCGACATATATTATAATTAATAATATTTATTTAATAATTTCCAAAGAAAATAACTTAATCAAAAGTATAAAAATGAAAAAAATGGATAAAAAACAGTGATCTTTGTGTGTTTGAGGGGTCTTATATTATGAATCTAGATGAAAAGTGTTATTAGAATTGTATATTCATTTTTTAGTGTCACTGACTCGACTATAATGTGTTATATAATCTTACTTTTCTCAATCTAATGACGGGCAAATAAATAATGCATCCGTCTCTACTAGAACGTGTGAATGAGTTTACCCATGAATTTTGGATAGTGGTTTTCCTACCACCAATGAATTTTGGCTGAGTATTTTACTCCCTCTGTCCCAAAAAGATTTGCACGTTTTGACTAACGTTGAATTTAAGGGAGGGATAATTTTGTGTTGACTTTCCAAAAGTACCCTTGATGTGATGGATAAAAGTAGGATGTGATGTGTAGATTATTAGGAAAAAGGTATGATGTGATATGTAGGGTTTGAAAAAATAAAGGGTAAAAGTGGTTTTTTAATAGAAATGGGTAGGAGATTATGGGACACAATTTTTTTGAAAGATGTAAATCTTTTTGAGATGGAGGGAGTATTTTTTATGCGGTCGGTATCAAAACTGGATTATAGAGCTTCAATCTTTATGATTTCAGACGAGGTGTAGTGAGGGAGGGAGGTTTCTTTTCTTTGTTCATGAAATCAGAGGACTCGAGGAGTGAATAAGAAAATATACATTTTTCCAAAGTAAACTAAAATCATTTTCTCCTTTTTGAGTTGAAAAATATTTGTCCTAAAAAAAGATCTTTACACTTATATAACCAAACATAGCAAATTAAATTAAAGTTTTCTTGAAATATATTTTTCTCTCATAAAAAAAGATCTTATGAGTTACATTTTCTTGAAAAAAATATTACAGAACATAAAGAAAAATCGTACAGTGACACGGGTTAAAAAGCTACTCCGTAGTTAATTTTAAAAAGTAATTTTATTTTTTAATCATATAATTTTATTTTTTGATCATATAATTTTATTTTTTGAATTTTCGTGTCCAATCAATAATGGAATATTATTACAAGAAGTATTTGGGTGTGTGAGGGGCTGGGGGCCTTTTTGGTTGCCTTAAATATGCTTCGAAGGTACGCCGTTTTCCTTGCTGAAATCCAAAGGTACAAAAAGGGGGGCCTTAGGCCAGAAATGGCAAAACAATGAGGTAGCTGTCAATTTTATCACAAGCAAGTTGGAGATGCCTTTTCATGATGATTCACACCGGTACGGTAGGAAGGAGTCACTATGTGAAAAAACATAGTGGATACATATTGAAAAATAATTATATCTAAACAAAAATATAAACATTAACTTCCCAAAATTTTAAAATTAATTTACCTAAATAGGACTAAAATATAATGACTTTTTCAATATAGAACTATATGTTTATATTTTCCCAATGTAGGACCATTGGTCATTATCTATTAGTCATTATTCAACTAAATGTCCAGCATCACTTGGACATTATTCTTCTCACTAGCCATTATTAAGTCCTATTTAGGGAACAAAAAAGTTTAAGTCCTACATTGAGAATTGACTTATGTTTTAGTCCTATTCAGTGCAAATTTCACAAATTTTAATACTTGTTTAATACTCCCTCCGTTTCTTTAAACCCTTCCCATTTTGACTTTGGACAAAAATAAGAAAGTCTAATTTTGGTTGACTTTCCAATTTTGCCACTGATGTGATAGATAAAAGTAAGATCTGATAGTTTGGTTATTAATAGAAAAAGATTGATGTGATAGATAGGGAATAAAAAAGTAGATGCAAAAATGATTTTTTAATAAAAGTGGAAGTGTTTTAGGGATTAGAAAAAACGAAAGAGGAAGATTTTTATGGAACGGATGGAGTAATAGCCTTTAGATTTAAAATATCAAAACATCAATGTACACTATTTTTAAACTAATCTTCGTTTTGATTTGGCAGTTCATTAGAATTGGAAGAAATTAAACAAACTAGATCCCTATTGATTTTATTATCAAGCCTTAACACCTTTCCTTAGGAATGTATCTTCATTTTTCTATTTATTTTATTTTCATTTATTTTGAACTTAATTTACTTGAAATTTGGGGTAAATTCTAGATTGAGCAATACGACACTTGAGCTGAACTACATTAAATGATTGAACGCAATCGATTACTTAGTTCAATTTCGGAGCTTATATGCCGATTATTTTTCTATTCAACTTTCGATGTGTGATAGACTCTACACTCTCCCTTAAGTGGATAACTGGTCCTTTTTTAACCTAGCCGGTTGACCACTTACAAATGGATTCTCATCTCCTTGATTTTTTTGAGCGCCAACACCTAAAGGACTACGAGCTGTTGGATATGGACTTTCAGATGAGCAATTGAGTTAAACGGGCCACAGACTGTTCGGCACATACTCCATATGGATATCTGCGCTAAAGACAAATGAGCCTCTAGGAATGAACGTCTAAACAGACACCTTGACAAATAAGGTGAGTTAAAACTGGCTCCGCTACCATGATAGAATTTAAAATAGGGTAGTGATAACAAGATTGGGTAATTGGACACTTGAGCTAAACTACATTAAAAGTTTGAATCCAATCGATTACTTTGTTAAACTCAGGAGCTTATATATATACCGATTACTTTTTTTATTCAACTTCCGATGTGTGATAGACTCTAACAATATATATATTCCCTCCGTCCCATAACTCTTTGTTGTTTTTTAATTTTGCTCTTACTTTAATTTTGCACCTTTAAAATGAATAATTTTGGTGTTATTTTTTAATTTTGCTATTATTTTATAATAGAGTAGGATGTGATCTGTAGGATAGATGAGTCATAATTAGAAAATGATACTAAAATTATTAATTTTAAAGACACATCTTTTTTCAAACAGGAAAGATTTTATTAGACAGAAGGAGTAATACCAAAAAATACTATGAAATGACAATATAAGACGCAATATTGTCATATACAGAGTATAGTGCAAAGTCTTATTTTTGTCATAAAAATGTATTATTCTTAATTTTGGGACATGAGCGATATTATACTCCTATATTAGATAATTTCATCAATCGTGTAGCCACCATTAGTTAGGGGTGAGCAAGTACCGAACCGATACCGAAATTTCCCAAAAAACCTGAGAATACCGACCCGAAAAATATCGAACTGAAAAAGTATCGAGAAGGAACCGAACCGTACCGAACCGAATGGTCGGTACGGTATTCGGGAACGGTACGAGGTGACGTCCCATACCGAAAATCCCGTACCGAACATATATACTAAAATATTATAAAAATAATACCCGGAGTAATATTTTTATATATTCCTTCACTAAATTATAACTTTTTTAAAAAAAATTGGCTCAAGTTTTATTATGTGTAAATTATACTTTTATTTGAGTTTTAATTATTGTGTATGAGCATAAAAGTATTCACAAAGATTCAAAATACTCCTTTGTTGTCATTCATTTTTTAGTTTTTGAAATATAAACTAAGTTTTTGATACACATCTCTTGCATTTAAATATTCATTTTTTTTAATTTTTCATGTTTTTTATTTAAATTCATTTTTAATTTTCAAAAATAAAAGGGTATTGTTAAATTTTTAACGTGTAAAGTATGTATGTATCTTCATCCCGATTTGTACCGAAACCGACACCGAACCATCCGGAACGTGTAAAGTATGTATGTATCTGCATTAGTCCATTATAGCAATGGAGTCACTTGCCACCAATCAATTTTCAATTAACTTGGTTAATATCTATAAATTACCTTAAAAAACAAAATTACCCACTAAAAAATATTCTCTCCCCCAATAGAACAAATTATTGCCGTCAATTAAAAAATTCAAGTTGAAAAATAAAATATTTAACATTAAAATAATAGAGTTTAAATGGGAAATAAATAAAATATACGGAGTAATTTTAAAGTATAAATTACATGATCGATAAAGTAAAACTTGAGGGAGCATTGTCAAAACTTTCTCATTACTAATTTGATTGCTGGTTTCACATGAAATATGTATTTCAAAAAATTTTGGAAGGGCTTCCTTAGGCTCGTGTAGCATTCTTGCTTCGAGTCACTTCAATTTACGATGTATGACTGAAATTATTTTCTATTTAATTTATTTTATTATAAATGTAAATTTTAAAAATAAAATTTAAAAATTATATATCAAAAGTTTTACGAAATTAGTACTACCTCCGTCTAAAAAATTTACACGTTCTGACTAAAGTTGAAATTAAGAAAGGAATAATTTTGTGTTGACTTTCCAAAAATACCCTTGATGTGATGGGTAAAAGTAGGATGTAATGTGTAGATTATTAGGAAAAAAAGTATGATGTGATAGATAGGATTTGAAAAAGTAAGGGGTAAAAGTGGTTTTTTTAATAGAAATGAGTAGGAGATTGTGAGACGCATTTTTTTTGAAAGGTGTAAATCTTTTTGGAACGGATTGAGTATTAAAAATAATTCAAGAAAAGTGAATAGCTTTTGATTGTACGAGTAGTAATTGAGAAAAACTTTTAGGATGAAAAAAAATATTTCTCTCATCTGCATAAATTTATATGATATGGAGTACAATTTTTTTTAAACTCCATGAAAAATCAAACGATAACCTTTTTGAAGAAGATAAATTATTTATCATATTGTATCATGGACGATCATGAAGAAAGAAAAAGGACGAAGAAATTGAGAGAAAAGTTTAAAAAGAGAAATTAGAGATGTATATGGATCGATTTCCATAAACCTACATGAAGAATTATTTCTCGAACTTTCTTTTTAAAAAAGCTTGAGATAGATAGAGCAAATCTTGCGACACGCTACAATTCTTAGCATGCAATTAAGGAGGACGCCAGGTAGCCAGTCATCCATCTACTGATCGATTTCCCGCACGTGGATTTTAATTAGAGGCCACAAAATTCACAAGCCAGGAGAGATCGAGCACACTTTTGACGTGGGGAGATCACACAGCCACAAACTATTTATGAATTCATCAAATTTTCCTTTTTCTTCTTTTATTTTTTTTTCGTGACACAAAACGTGCGTATATATTATCGCTTGCGTGGTACGGAGAATCAAATTCTTGGATCACAAAATTCCACCTCCTTTTTAATAAATCTTTATAATAATTTTTGTTCTTGGCGCTAGCTTTATTATTATATATAGCTCCTCAAATATACTCTTTCCGTCCCCCTAAGATGTTCTCGTTTTGACTTTTTGTAGTTTTTAAGGAGAGTTGAAAAAAGGTGAAAGTTTACCGTAATACCTTTAATGAAAATGGGTGGAGTGTATTAAATGAGGTGAGTGAGGTGTAATAAATAAAGTAAGTGGGGGTAGTTGTGGTATTTTAATTATTAAAAAAGGTAATGAGAAGATCTATGGTGGACGAATAAAAAGGACTAATGAGATGATCTATGGGGGACGGAGGGAGTATTAAAAACAAAACTCAGTAATAAAGAGTGTTACTATATAAGCATAATGGTCGTTCATCACCTGTTTCCCCACTTGGCATGCAATTCCATGATCAAAAGTTGTTCCTCCGGCGTGATATTTCCCCGCCGGACGTCAGGCCGGAGGTAGTTCAGCCACCGCAGGCGGCAACTCTTCCCAGTTCGTTTCAGACCTACCAGAAACGAACATTATATAACGTGACAAATGAACACAAGGAAGTTTTAGTTGCTACGTTACGTTCGTGGATAAAAATTAAACTTAACCATTTTTAAAAGAGTTGGTATTATATATTATACCGGCAGAGCGAGCTAGGGAGTTCCAAACACCTTCACCATGATTAGAAATGTAGTTTATGAGAATCAAGTCCTCTTCCATAGTCCAAGGCCCCTTCCTTATTTCAACTTCTTGAGAGTTGCATGGCTTTCTATCCATTATTGGGAGAGGGAAGGGGTAGATGGGAACGTAACTAAGAATAAGAGAGGACAATGGTTATTGGTGAAAACATAATGGGAGTGGAACGATATTTATAGACCCTGATCACTTTAAATAATACGGATGGAGTTGTACGTACTATCTCCGTTTGATTTTTTGCAATTAGAATTAATAAATTTTGACCACAAATTAAATACAACTGACATTAGGTATTGTTACAAAAATAATTTTATTAGATTTATTTTATAAAATAATTTTAAACATTGTTGTTTATTACTAATATACCACATAATTTTTATTAGATTCGAAATCAAAAATAAAAATGATTGATTGTAAAAAAATTAATACTGGACAAATACGGAGATAGTATTGTGTATGTAATTCTAAATTTGTAAATTATATTTTCGCTATAAACAATGATTTAGCCGAACTTCATTAATTTCTTGCAATAATTAATGTAGCCTTTAGTGTCTAAGGAAATATATATGCATGTATGACACGCTCGATAAGTCCATGCATGGTCACGTCAAGTCACTAATAAAGCAAAAGTATTTCTCTTTATTTATATTTATAAGTTTGATATAATTTGATAATAATTGAATTATAACGATTACATCAATTTCTATACAAAATGTATAGAGAATTCTATCCAAAATATATAGAATAAGAAATTATAGTAACAATATAATAAGAAAGATAATAATAATATATACTACTCCGTACTATTTTTTGATTGGTACATTGAGCGAAAGTGTAATTATTAAAATAAATAGTCCAATATAATTATCCGGATAAGATAGCACGATATTAAGGTCCAGACCCGAGAACAGAACCATGGGCTGATGATAGGCTTAGCATGTTCGGGTTGGAGAGTTAATGGGCTCGGTCGAATATAAAAGTAGAATTGGGATTAGTTATTTGGAGAAAGATTTACCTAAGTCTCATAAATAAAGCCTAATATGAATAGGAAGCTTGGATGTGTATCGATACCCCTAGAGGGAGACGAATAACTATAGTTCTTTTCTTTCAATTCTCAAGGTTTAATATTCTTCTCTCTTATTCAATATTATTCTAATATTTATCGTGCGATTTACGAGAACTATATTCAATGGAGTTAAACTCCATAATTGGTACTTTCATTGAGAAATGGTTGAGAATACTTGAGCATATTTTTGAGCATGGGAGGAAGAAAAACGAAGAACAATAAACAAGGCTACCTAATGCAACTACGACACAGTCATCTGATGTCGTACCACCTCCTTCTAGAGGAGGAAGCGAATGGAACCTCCAGCCGACTTTGCTGGAGGGGACGATGGGTAACATCCAAATCCTGTTAACCCACATGATTGAGAAGCTACATCAATTGCCACATTCATCTGTTGCGCTGATTCTGAATGATCCAGTTACGAACCGTGGACATTCTCTAGACAGAGTGTTTGGCTAACTCCATAGCTGAGAGGAGATCAAGGCCGAGAACGAGAGGATCAAGAGGAGCAATATAGGAATTAGGCTAGAACGGGCCCTACGGGTACCAGATTGTTTGGCCCAAGACTGTGACATGGCCAGCTTATCCTTGTTCCCTTTATCCCAAAACATGGAACAACCGTGTGATGCGGAAGTCCTGGACTGAAAGGACAAGATAGGGTGAAGATTCCTGATAATTCCGTTTCGTTCTTATCATTTACATCATATTCTAAATGTTATTGCACGTAAATAATATCTAATCATCTCATAAAATATGTTTTTAATGACTAAAACTCTCATTTTCGTTCTATGAGTCATGAAAAAGAGTTCCACCATAAATCATCCATTTTATGTTCGAGTACTTGAGAAAAAGGGAATCAATCATCAAGGAATCAATATTTGGGCTTGAACGAGCTTCCAAGAGGCCAAAAACAATGTTCGGGGCCAAAAAGAAGTGGAATTAGGCCTAAATTATGAACCAGCCACGAAGCCCAACAGAGAAGGGCCTGAAGCGTCCAACTCACGGACGCCTGGGGGCACTACAAGAATGTGAGCCTCAAAGAGACGGGAGTTCCGTCCCAATTTAGTCTCTATTATGAGACAGAAAAGAGACGGATCAAGTTGTCTCATTTTTTCGTCTTCCTGGCATGAGAGACGGAAATGAGACGAAAATAAGAGACTAAATTTCGGTCTCAATATCAAGTGCTGGTAGCAAAATGGCTGCTTAGTCTTGGGACGGAATTAGAGACGGAAATGAGACGAAAATAAGAGATAGAATTTCGGTCTCAATATCAAGAGCTGGTAGCAAAATGGCTGCTTAGTCTTGAGACGGAATTCTGTCTCTCAAAGTCTGAATGTAAAAAACAATTATTATTTTTGGTGGCAGTGGGGTGTGGGACAGCAGAGGGGGATTTACATACCAATTAATAACAATCATACACACATTCATTTCTTCAATTAGAAATAAAAAAACATTAGAGAATATGTGTTTCCATCAACAAAATTAAGAAACCAACAAGAGTGCATAATCGAATTGACAAAGTGGTTCAAACCAACAAAAACAATTTGCTTAGTCCAAATTGCAAGCATCTCATTAGCACAACCTATTGCCTAGTCCAAGGTAGTAAAACGAGCTGTAACACCATCAATATATAATACCTGCACAAGCAAAACACTTCATTAAAATAAACATGAAAAGTATTATAGCCCATGTGATTCTGCATTATTAACTAAATATGTCAAATTATAATGCAATTTTTTCCAACAAGTTAATAACCAACCATAAGGATGAAGATGTGAATTTTCAACTCCAAAATGAACTGAGTAATGTTTTAATAGCTATGCGTCAATCACAGGAGATGCTTATTGTTTTAAGGAAAAAAACAGAATTTTGACCTTCATTATCTTAGCTCCTCCAAGTGAAATGGGCGTCTCCTTCATCAGTACGATACAAGAATATTACACACTTGATAGTAAAATAAAAGAAATATAATAATAATTTTATTTCATTTAAATTTCAAAGGTCCTCACCTTCTAATCAGACTCTTCATCAGAGGTTGAGTTCAATGAATCAGTTGAGTCAGTGTTATCGTCACACACTGATTTAAATTGACTATGAATTCTCGAGTTCCTCGTCTTTGAATGGCGGAAAGATTTATTCTGGCTTCTAGATCCATTGGCTACTGACATAGGATTTATCTCACACTCTTCGATTAGACCTTTTTTTAATAGTCTACGGTGAATATTGGACATTGAAGCATCAAAAGAATTAAACTTTTTCTTAAAATCTTCCAGCTCTTGAACCACCTCATGACGACGTTTTCTTTCTTTCTGTTGAAGCCCTTTTGTCTTGTCAAGTTCTTTTTGTAATTTGTCTATTTCCGCTTTCATTGTTGCATCTTTCTCCTTCAATTCTTCTTTGAGACGCTCAACTTCACTTTTATTCTCCTTACATAATATTTCCAAGAACATATAACACATAAGTAAATTAATTGCAATGTAAAAAAAAGAATAGACACACTCATACAACTCAAAAATGTCAATATTATTCACAAGAATCACATTAGTGCTTTATCTCCAGTACCAAGTCAATGTTAGAATAACAAGTGTTAGAACAAATGATCATATTTAGTGTGAAAGACTCTATTAAATGGTCCTATCTAGATACACAAATTGATTTTATTAATATGTTGTGTCATTTCTTAATTAAATAAAGCTCACACTTTTCATTTTCCATAAGATAACGCAGTGTAAACATTTTCTGTTCATTAAGAACTACAAAAAACAATTTTTACCTTTGGGGTCTCACGAGCTGGATGGAATGCCACGGGGTCTGAAAATTGCAATGGGACACCTATCCATTGATCCCCCTTTTGCACTCCGCCTGACGCTTGAATCCAAGCATCTTTATCAAAGACTGGCCACGTACCCCGATCTTCTCCTTTTTTTGCACACAGAATTTTACAATAGTCTTCCTGTTAAAATGTCAAATACATATCATTTAAAAGCAAGGTCGTTTCTTAAAATTTATAGGCCCAGAGATAAAATTAATTTTTTTTCTTTTTATGCTCTAACTTTTAAAAATCATGTCTTTTTAAACATATTTAATTAATGATCTTAAAACAAAATTAGAATAAGAATAAAATATCAAAAGTACTTAGGTTCAATTTTAATCTTCTAGTACTGTGAGGTGCGGTGAAAAGCCAATTGCCCTAAAAGAATGTTTGTATGATGCCACAAAATTGATTCCCAACTTGTTAAGTATTGGAGTAACTAAAAAAGTGGGCCCCTACCAAACCTGGCCCTGAGCAGCGGCTCAGGCTGCTCTTGGGCTTTTAGTCGAGCCTGTTTACAAGAAAAATTAAACACAAAAGTACATAGTGATTTACCAAAATTCGATAATGGCGAGTCTGAAATGGCCGACCTGTCTTCGAATTTGTACACATTTGTAGCAATAACTCATCAAAGCGACATGGACGACCAAGTTGAGCAGACTATAAAAAAAATATTAGGACATTTGGTGAATAATAGTTCAAGACATAGACATTACTACATGTTCTTACAATTTCCTGTATAATTGAGACTTTGTCTTGGTGCCCAATGAGCTTCTTGCTGTAACATCACCATCAATTAGCTTGCCTACATGTAAATAAATGATGAAATAATAAATGTTAGCTTATTTTTAAAATGTATAAATGTGTTGAGTCCAAAACATTCACTAATTATTCTCTATTAAATCAGTATTTTTGGGCATTAAAAAGTGCATTTTTACACTTAAATGATCATATTTGCATTCTAGGCATCATTTATAAAATATGTTCATAATGCACACTTTTCAGTTTATTTTTGAATATTATTGTTGTGGGCCCAAATTCTCCTTGACAACGGTTATTAGATATATCCTTGGAGCATAAAATGCGGGCTGAAAACGTGAAAGCAATCCAGTTGGGCTCTACCCCGACTTATGGTTTCAAAGGAAATCCGGGCCCAAGATGACAAAGCCCAAAGGTCCACCTCCAATACACACAAAAGTTTGAGAGAAGCTGCGTAAAAAAGAGAAAAAGAGAGAGAGACGTGTGAGATAGAAGAGCCGGAGACTCCCTCTCCTACGTTGGGACGGCTTCTTCAAGTATAGCTGGAGCCGGAGAATGCGCAGCAAAAAAATCAGCGTCAAGAACCCTAATCCAAGACGGAAGAGGCAAAGCCAGCGCCTATAAATTGAAGGAGACGCTGCGAAGAACAGGACCACCACCGATCAAGAGTAAAAATCAGAGCTAGAATCAAAGGGTATGAACCCTAGGGGGTTCGGATCTTATATCCGAAACCCCCTTAGTTTTCTTCTTCTTTAATTTTATTT